AATCTAAAAATAAACCTGCCATTTTTCAATCCATATGCCTCTATTCCCTCCCTATTTATGTTCCCATCTAGGTGCCTCTTAAATGTCTTCAATGTGCCTGCTTCCACCACCTCTTCTGGCAGTGCATTCCAGGCTGCTACCACTCTCTGCCTGAAAAACTTCCCTCGTACATCTCCCTTAAATCTTTCCCCTCTGACCTTGAACCTGCACCCCCTTGTAATTGAAACTTCAACCCTGGCAAAAAGCCTCTGACTATCCACCCTATCTATGCCTGTCATAATTTTGTTGACCTCTATTAGGTCTCCTCTCAGCCACTGTCTTTCCAGTGAAAACAATCTTAGCCTTTTTAACCTTTCCTCAATGCCAATGCCCTCGAGACCGGGCAACATCCTGGTGAACCTTCTGTGCACTCTCTCCAAAGCTTCCACGTCCTTCTGGTAATGTGGCGACCAAAACTGCACACCTTACTCCAAATGCATCCTAACAAGAGTTTTATATAGCTGCAACATGTTTTGCCAATTCCTGTACTCCATGCCCCGGGTGATGAAGGCAAGCATGCCATATGCCTTCTTAATCACCTTGGCTACATGTGTTGCCACTTTCAGGGAAATATGGACCTGCATGCTCAGATCTGTCTGAATGTTAATGTTCCTAAAAGTTCTGCCATTTACAATATAATTCACACCTCAGTTTGATCCTCCAAAATGCATCACCTCGCATCTGTCTGGATTTAACTCCATCTGCCATTTCTGGTGCCCAAGTCACCAATCTATCGATATCCTGTTGTATACTTCCACAATCGTTGGCACTATCAGGGTCAAATGCCATCCTTCTGTACTGTAAAATTTGGTGATTCTATGACAAGGACCTAGCCACAAAACATGACCTTTTAAGCTGAACCTCCTTATGAGTTTAGCCTCATTTGCCAGCCCAGGTCAGGTTTGCTGGCTGCCTCACTTGAGCAGATTGTTGGCCTGGTCAGGCTTTACCCCCAGCTCTGTAAGTGTTTGCTAAAACAAATGGCTTGGTTATAAAAGAGTTTGTACTCAGCAGAGCATGGAGGAAGAAGTCTAGCCTGCCTAGTACATAACTCGTATAGAAACAGGTTTATGAACACACATGTTATCGTTTTTGGCTAATTAGGTTGTGCCCATGATGGAGCAGACTCTGCTGTTAAGGGAGACATGGTATGCTAATGAATGCATCACATGTTCCCAACTGGAAGCCAACTCGTCTGAAAGGTTCTGGGAATGTCATAACAAAATTTGAAACCGCTGTTAGGAAACTGAATGGCTGCCTCTTGCCCATTCATTTCCACCTCCCAGCTCCAGAGATGGCCTGTAAAATTCCACCCAATATCTATTGCATGAAAGTCTGTGTAACAATGGCTATTGTATCAATGTAACCTATGACTAGTTATGAACATGCAATCTACATATCAGGGTAACCGCAAGAGACTCTTCCCAGGGGAGGAGGAATTGGTTTTCCTCCACCATACTAAACTAAGCAGGTCCTATAGTTTTGTGAAAAGGATGCTGGCAGCAAACATCACCACCATCATCATCAGGAGCTCACACAGTATTGTTACAAAGAGTCACTGGACTGAAACATTAACTATGCTTTCTCTCCACAGACGCTGCCAAACCTGCTCAGTTTCTCTAAGAATTTCTGCGTTTCATAGAATCCCTACGGTGTGAAAGCGGTCCATTTGACCCATCAAGTGCACATCAACCCTGCTGAGAACAGCACACCCAGACCAACCCCATGATCCTATCCCTGTAACCTTGCATTTCCCATGGCTAATCCAAATAGCCTGCACATCCCTGGGTCCTATGGGCAATTTAGCATGAACAACCCACCTAACCTGCACATCCTTGGCCTGTTGGAGCAAACTGGAGCACCCAGAGGAAACCCACACAGACAGGGGGAGAATGTGCAAACTCCACACAGTTGCCCGAGGCTGGAATTAAACCCGGGTCCCTGGCACTGCGAGGCAGCAGTGCTAACCACTGAGCCACCATGTTGCATTTTTGTTGCAGCTCACACAGTGTCATGAACTGGCATGACCACAGAACAGGTATGTGCACACATATGTTTAATGTATGTGTAGGTGTATGTGTGAGTATGCGTGTGTTTCCCCATCTTTTAAAATTTGCTCCACTGTAATATTATTGAGATCTGATTGATTGCTTATCCTGAAAAGGACAGGGTCTTACATGTTCTCTATAAGTGCTAGCTGAACTGCTGAGTGTTCCCAGTTTTTTCTGCATTTTGTTTTGTTTTTAATCCAATGCCCAAGTTCTGTTTTTTTTAAACTCAGATTCATGTTCCCAGGTTTTATGATCAAAGCCTAATGCTTTGTTCTAACATTCGCCATGCCCCTCATTATTTTCATGACTTGGAATAAGCTCCTTTTCAGTTATTTTCCTCTCAAAAATATATCGGTTCGGTTAGGTGAGCCACCAAATTTCAATCCCAGTATCATTCTGCTGTGATTCTCTAAATTCTCTTCCATATTTCAGGCCTATGGTACTGAAGGGAAGGCAGTAAAAATCTACACAACTTCTAATAGTTCTCTTGAGACTTAAATGACATTAGAATTTGTTCTCTCTGCCCTTGATGTGGAGGGGCCGATGTTGGACCGGGGTGGACAAAGTCAGAAATCACATAACACCAGGTTATAGTCAAACGTGTCTTTTTGAAGTCACAAGCTTTCAGAGCGTTGCTCCTTCATCAGGTGAAATGACTTCACCTGACGGAGAAGCAGTGCTCTGAAAGCTTTTGACTTCAAATAAACCTGTTGGACGACAATGTGGTGTCGTGTGACTTCTGACTCTCTGCCCATGGCTTAGTTAGTAAAAGTATTGTTCCTCGTTCATTTCTGTAAACTCCTTGAGTCCTGGAATCCTCCAAGAGCTCTGCAGTCCTCCAATTCTGGCCTCTTGAGCATCCCTGAGGTCCCATTGCCCCACCATTGGCAGCTTTGCTGTCAGCTGCCTGGACACTGTGTACTGGAGCTAGTAGGAACTGCAGATGCTGGAGAATCTGAGACAACAAGGCATAGAGCTGGATGAACACAGCAGGCCAAGCAGCATCATTGGAGCAGGAAGGCTGACGTTTCGGGCCTAGACCCTTCTTCAAAAATGGGGAAGGGTTAGGGGGTTCTGAAATAAATAGGGAGAGAGGGGGAGGCGGATAGAAGATGGATAGAGGAGAAGATAGGTGGAGAGGAGACAGACAGGTCAAAGAGGCAGGGATGGAGCCAGTAAAGGTGAGTGTAGCTGGGGAGTTAGGGCGGAGATAGGTTATTCCAGGGAGGACGGACGGTAGGGGGAGGGGAGATTTTGAAGCTTGTGAAATCCACATTGATACCATTGGGCTGCAGGGTTCCCAAGCGGAATATGAGTTGCTGTTTCTGCAACCTTCGGGTGGCATCGTTGCCTGCCCCTACTGCATCCCAAAACCAGCCCAGCTCGTCCCTGCCTCCCTAACCTGTCCTTCTTCCCACCTATCCCCTCCTCCCACCTCAAGCCGCACCCCCATCTCCTACCTACTAGCCTCATTCCGCCCCCTTGACCTGTCCGTCCTCCCTGGATTGATCTATTTCCTCCCTACCTCCCCACCTACACTCACCTTTACTGGCTCCATCCCCGCCTCTCTGACCTGTTTGTCTCCTCTCCACCTATCTTCTCCTCTATCCATCTTCTATCCACCTCCCCCTCTCTCCCTATTTATTTCAGAACCCCCTTCCCCTCCCCCATTTCTGATGAAGGGTCTAGGCCCAAAACGTCAACCTTCTGCTCCTATGATGCTGCTTGGCCTGCTGTGTTCATCCAGCTCTGCACTGTGTACTGGAATTCCCTTATAACTCCTCTGTCTCTTTACCTCTTCTTTTAAGATGCTGTTTGAAATCTCTTCAGCCAAGTGTTTCTGCCTCTACAATGTGCATTCAGACGTGGTCTATATATCAAAACATTCAGAAACAACATTAACCTTGAAGCCAATGACAACTGAGCTGTTTATTCACACCAGTCACGTTTCACTTGATTGAATGATTTAGAGTCATAGAGCTGTACAGCATGGAAACACACCCTTCAGTCCAACTCATCCATGCTAACCAGACATCTTAAATTAATCTAGTCCCATTTGGCGAATATTGCTCTAACTTCCTAAGTTGGACAGCCATTGTAGATTGCGTTAGGAAACAGTGATTTGTTTTTGCAAATTTTATTCATGATTGTAGGACCAAATTTTAAGACTTTTGTCCAGCGGCTCCACTTATTTGGTGGAAACAGCTATATAAATGCAGGTTGTTGCTGTGACGGCTTATCCTATTTTATCTAGAGAAATGCACAACGATTTTCTTTGTACTTCTAGGCTCGATAGGGAAAGACCTGCTGGTGCAATTGCTCCTGATAACTGGCCAGTACATCTGCCTACACATCCCCATTTCTCTTGTGGGAAATTGTTGTGTATGATAGTGAATTTTACTTGGCTGTGACACCCCCAAGGTGGAACAACTGGTGAATCTTTGTGCTTTGAAGGAAAGCACACTATTGAGATGAGATTGTGAGTTTGCCTGCTGTCAAGGATTCAACACAAATTTTTGGAAAATGAAATGATAAAATGGAAAATAACAAAAGGGCAATGTTAACATTACTTGTTGGTGTTTAGTCTGCAGGACTGTGGTTAGAGCAAAATCAGGAGATATCTAAAAGCTGCATTGCACTCCATCCCATCAATTCAGTTAACATTGCCCCAAATTTCCCCCACATAAAAGAACTAAATGCACTCAGCATTTCCTCCCTCAGACTTAATTATTCCAGTCGATGAATAGTTTCACAGTGACCGAATAGTCCAGGGGATCATCTTGTCCTGAACATAACAGATGGACGAGTTTGAAAAGAAAACGTTGGGACAAGTTTTACTTGCAACTTTCTTTTTCGCTGTTGTTTATTCAGAAAACACTGCAATCAAAAAAAGAAATACTCTGTAGGTCCTTTGTGTTTCTGCTTGTTGTTTTATTTTCGCCCAGTAACGGTCAGCGGTACAGGAAATCTACAGAAAATTAGTTTGGTCAATGGTGCAGTGATAGAAAAGACTCGCATCGCCTGAAAACTGCAAAAATCCCTTTGCGGTGCTTAAAGGGGCCACATCATCCAGCTCTCGGAGCAGTGGGAAAAGGCGGAGGGAGGGAGGGAAGGGCTCAAACACAAGAGTGTGGCATCACTATCTGAACCTAGAAAAATATGCGCATACTTTCCTGTATAAAAGTGTTGTAAACCGGCTCAGAGTTTCCATTCAGATCTTCGGGTGGCCTGGCTGGAAAAAAAAGACAGCGGATTCTTTGTCAACATGGTCACAAACGTTTTACATAAGAGATTGGATACATTTCTGAACAGCAAGATCCCATTTTTTTTTTTGTTTTAATCTTTCTCGAATTCCTATATATGTCTCTCATAAACAGAGTTCATAACCAGTACAGAACAAACACATGGACATCAGTTGGACAGAGAAGAGAGTTTTCTACCAGGACGGAGTTTACTGCTACAAGAACTGTTACCCTCTCACTGTTACCATCTAAAAGAACTTGACAGGATCCACATTCCCCCTTTTTTTACTATTATTTGTGCGGTAATTCGCTTTCTTGATCCAGTTTGCCTGTTTGTCTGGACAGTGATAGCAAGGCCTGTTTATGGTTGTCTTGGTTCGTGGAGCCTTTCTCACAATGAGATTGTTTCAGTTCGCCTCACAACAATCAGCATGAGAGGGTCCCAGTGGGGTGGACTGAACCTCCACCACTATCGTTTTGCCTGGGTTGTTAGCCGCCTCCCAGTGCTTGACGAAAGGAGGGTAAATCCCGTTCAATGACACCAGAGAGTCCTTTTGCATGCACATCGCCAAAGAGCTCGGCTTCACCTCCACCCGCTGCCCTGTAGACATGAGCCCACGAAAGGACAAGACACTCGACACCACAAACAGGGTACAGACAGTCAAGGTGATTAGAAACTGTACTCTTATCTCGCTGGTACCAGTGGCTAAGTTGGCTTCTTTGGTCCTGATCCTGATGCAGGATATCTTATTATGGAGCTGGACGTAGGATGCATGCACACATAACGCATATTCAGTGAATGGTTCCAGGTGAGTCAGATTGTACCTGTGTACACCTGCTGGAACCCTGGCGGTGAAGAGAGAATTCAAGCTGCTATTGCTCATTGTACGTGACCATGTGACATTCGATGCTATTATATTCGAGGTGATAATCCATGACAACAGGACGTGGTGTGCTCCCATTTCTTGTACATACAGTTGAATGCTCTCATTACCTCCTGGATAGAATCCACTCACTCTGATGGTCACACTTTTTGTGTCTGCGCCAACCAGATTGTGGGCCACGCAAGTGTAGAGCCCAGCTTCATGGACTGTTAGGTTGAATATCTCCAGTGTCCCTTCGGGCTGCACTCTGTACTTGTCTGATGTGCTGTAGGCCTGAAGCCTATCACCGGATGGCGTGACCCAATAAATCTCAGGGTCCGGCTCAGCGAAAGCCCGACAGTGGAGGGAAAGTGAGTCTGAGACTGCAGTGTCAATATGCGAGGGGAATGCTTCAGCAGAGATGAGAGGGAGGCATCGGTCTGTCATCTCCCTGAATGGAACATCTCTCAGGTTTTGACTTTTGAACTCTGGAGGCTCCACGCAGAAAGTTGACTGCGGCTCGATGAAGCGAATGTGGTTTTCGTTGGTATTCACCCAGCGAATGACGCAGTCACATCGGATGGGGTTGCTGTGAATGCTAATCTCCTGGAGTTTGGAAAGGGACTCGATTGTCTTTCTGTATAAGGCACTCAGAGCATTATTGTTGAGCATGAGGGTTTCCATTTGAGGAATGAGGCGAAATGCACTCGGGTGAATGTAGGAAAGTTTGGGGTTGTTGGTCACCTCCAGTTTGGTCAACTCTGGGAGGTTGTCCAGAGCAAACTTGTCGATGGAGATTAACTCCTCCATGTTGTTAATGCCCAACTCTTTGAGATGAAGCATATCGGTGAAATCACCCTGCTGGATCCTTTCGATTGGATTCTTATTCAAATCCAAGAACTTAAGATCTGGAACTTTCCGGAGGGCCATCTTTGGAACCTTAGGCAATTTGTTATCATAAAAAGAAATGCTTTCTAAATTCTCCAGCCCCTCGAGGGCATGATCGGAAATTTCCTTTAGGCTCATTCCACTCAATACGAGACTTCTTAGATTGACGAGAGGCTTAAAGTTCATGTTCTGGATCATTTCTACTGCATTCTCTCCAATTGTGAGGATTTCCAGACTGGGAATCGGCTCAAACCACTCCCTTCCAATGGTCCTCAGCTTGTTGGAGTTCAAATGGAGCCGAAGGAGGTTTTCAAGGCCAGAGAATGCTCTGGGGGAAATGGTGCTTAGCTGGTTGTGGTTCAAGTACAGCTCCTGAAGGTTGGTGAGAGTGGAGAAGCCATCTGCTGACAATTTGGTCAACTGGTTCTCTTCCAAATGGAGGACCAGGAGATTGAACATGTTCTTCAAGCTGAAGTCTTCAATCCTGGAGAAACTGTTCTGGGACAGATCAAGCTCTGTCAGGTTCACCAGGTATTCCAGCTCTTCCGGCTCAATCCTAGCAATCCTATTACTCTGCAGTAATAATGTCTGTGTTTCTTCGGGCAGGTTCGTGGGAACTTGAGTCATTAAAAAATCATTGCAGTCCACTGTTGGAGCCTCCCTGTACATAGACCTTGGTGTGAACCAAGGCTTAACTTCACAAACACATGCATCTGGACATTTGACACGCCAAGGGATCGCTTGAGTTAACGTAACAGCTGCCAAACTGATAAACATGTACTCCTTCAGAAACATTTTTCTTCCCAATTATGAAGCTGCTAATGTTTGAGAGTCCTTTAAGGTACTACTTGTGCAATAAGATACAGGATATCCAAATGCAGATGTCTTAAATGTCAAGAGGGCATTTTAATGTGTGCGGTAAGTGACAGAACTAGAACCAGGAAGTTATTCCAGCTTTAGCATGTCATCCACACTTCACGGGCAAATGGCATCTCACTCCATTAGTTGAGGATTTCTGGCAGTGATTGTCAATTTTGCTTCATTCAGCATTTGAAGAAAGCAGTTTGCCTGTGCCTAAGTGATTGGTACTTGCCTCCGATGCCTGATCCTGCAACAGAATAATAGATGCTGTTAGGAACTGCTTTTGGAAAAGGTTCACTGCTTGCTGAAATGCCAACTATATGATACATTCAAGGATTAAGAAATAAACAGACGGAATATTAGCAATCAATACTCAGTCCTCAGAGGGGTGACTGATACAATTCTCTGAAGAAATAGTAATTAACAACCCATGTTTTTAGATTTGCTTGGAAGATGTGACTTCCTACCTGGAAACGAGTGTGAACAGTGGGACCGTTTTAAAGAGACCCTCTGGGACAAATTAGCCCACTTGATCAGCATCTCATCCATCAGCTAAAACATTGATTCCCTCCATCACCAACGCTTAGCAGTAGCAGTATATATCATCTACAAGATGCACTGCAGGAAGTCACCAAGACTCCTTAGATGTCACATTTAAAATCAGCAATCACTTCCACTTAGAAGGATAAGGGCAGCGGATACATGGAAACACCATCACCTGCAAGTTCCCCTCCGAGCCACTCACCATCCAATTGGAAACATATTGCCATTCTTTCAGTGTTGTTGGAACTCTTTTCCTAATGACATTGTGGCTGTACTGACATCACAAGGTTTACAACAGTTCAGGAAGGTGGCTCATCACCACCTTCTTTAGGGCGATCAGGGATGGGCAATGTATGCTGGCCCATACAACAACACACACATCCCATGAATGAATTATAAATAAAGGCTCGACTACTACATTGTGCATTTCTTTATGAACCTTGCCAACAAGTAAATAGTACCGGGAAATGTCATTTTTGTAACTTCACTGTTAAGGGTGGAAGAAAATCTCATTAATGAAAGGACTATAGGAACAGAGGGTGGCCATTCATCCCCTTGAACCTACTGCATCATTCACTTGTTTAATGACTGACCTGTATCCTGTCTTCATTTGGTCACCCTCATTTGATAATTGTTCATACCCCTGACAATCAAAAACTTATCCATTTTAAATTTCTACCTGACCCTGAGCCTGATCAGCATGTTGGGGCAGGCAGTTTTAAATTCCCACTACACTACGAAGTGGTACCCAAGGGAATAGGTTTTCCATGCTATTCATGTTACCAAACAGGGGTGTATGAAAAATCTCCCAGGCATTAATATTCCAGATGCATTTGGTCTTCTTCAGGCATTGAAGAGAGCATCGGATGATTGTTTGGATAGAAATGATGTGCAGGGATATGGGGAGAAAGACAGGATATTGGCACTAGGTAATAGAGCCAGTGCAGGTGCGATGGGCTGAATGGCCTCCTTCTGCATGGTAATAATTCTGTAATTCCTTCCTGCTCAGCCACAGATTCAAGTCACTCCTTCCCTCCCTGGTGGGTGTGGGAGGCCAATATCACTGCTAATGACATGGTCCACCCTTTCCACGAATGGGTTGTCTGGTCAGCCTTCTGAGTGGTGCCTCACAACACACCACTCAAATCAGACGTCCTACAGCCAACTGAGCACTGACAGACATCAGGGAGCAACATATTTCTAAAAGCGTGAAGATGTTAGTTACTGGAAGCAAAGTAAATAGATGCAAGGGGCTGAGCGGTCATCTTCTGCGCTGTATTATTATATAATTCTTAGAATCATCAGTAGAACAAGTCCTGCAATGTAAGCTGAATATCTGCCCAGTATAGTTTTAGAGGAGGTTTCATTTTGATTTTTCCACTCACCACCTTAAACCTGATTATGTTTATCCAGAGATAGTAGGAACTGCAGATGCTGGAGAATCCGAGATAACAAGGTGCAGAGCTGGATGAACACAGCAGGCCAAGCAGCATCGTAGGAGCAGAAAGGCTGACGTTTCGGGCCTAGACCCTTCATCAGAAAAGGGGGAGGGGAAGGGGGTTCTGAAATAAATAGGGAGAGAGGGGGAGGCGGATAGAAGAGGGATAGAGGAGATGATAGGTGGAGAGGAAACAGACAGGTCGAAGAGGCGGGGATGGAGCCAGTAAAGGTGAGTGTAGGTGGGGAGTTAGGGAGGCGATAGGTCAGTCCAGGGAGGACGGACAGGTCAAGGGGGTGGGATGAGGTTAGTAGGTAGGAGATGGGAGTGCGGCTTAAGGTGGGAGGAAGGGATAGGTGGGAGGAAGAACAGGTTAGGGAGGTGGGGATGAGCTGGACTGGTTTTGGGATGCGGTAGGGGGAGGGGAGATTTTGAAACTTGTGAAATCCACATTGATACCATTGGGCTGCAGGGTTCCCAAGCGGAATATGAGTTGCTGTTCCTGCAACCTTCGGGTGGCATCGTTGTGGCACTGCAGGAGGCCCAGGATGGACATGTCGTCTGAGGAATGGGAGGGGGAGTTGAAATGGTTCGCGACTGGGAGGTGCAGTTGTTTATTGCGAACCGAGCGTATGTGCCTATCCAGTCATTGCTACTGCCGTGGAATTCTCTCTGCCTTTTGATATTTAAATTCCATCAAGTCTTGTCATCATCTGGGATTAGAGCCCTGTGATTATTTCTGAATATGGGAGAGGTGTCACATAGCTTACACATTGACACGTACTACAATTACCTCAAGCCTGTTCTTGTACCATGAAAATAGAAGGGCATTTACTGGGCCTATCCTTATATCCTGTAAGGGTTTCATTTCCCATCACAGTCACTTATGTTCTTGTCAATCGTGAGGCATAGATTCAGCACAGTAATACTCCCAATGAGACATGCCTTATACCACGTGCAGTAAATTTCAGTGTTTAGAAGAGAGGCTACCAATCTGTGACTACCCAAGGTAGAACCTCCAATGTCCCTTAACCCTCTGTCTCGCCTAAATATATGATTCTTCATATGTTCAGAATGACATTTTAATCTTCTCCACTTGTGGCACATGGGCATTATTGGCTGGGCCAGCATTTAATTGCCCATCCCTATTTTCTCCTTGAGAAGGTGATGGTGAGCGGCCTTCTTGAACCGCTGTAGTCCATGTGCTGTGCGTTGACCCACAATGCCATCAGAGAGGGAATTCCAGCATTTTGACCCAGCGACAGTGAAGGGACAGTGAGATATTTCCAAGTCAGGACGGTGAGTGGCTTGGAGGGGAACTTGCAGGTTATAGTGTTCCCATGTTCCTGCTGCTCTTGTCCTTCTACGTGGAAGTGATTGTAGGTTTGGAAGGTGCTGTCTAAGGACCTATGATGAATTTCTGCAATACATCTTGCTGCTACTGGACATCGGAGGGGGAGGGAGTGGATGTTTGTGGATGTGATGCCAATCAAGTGGCTGCTTTGTCCTGGATGGTATCAAGCTTCTTGAGTGTTGTTGGAGCTGCATCCATCCAGGCAAGTGGGGAGTATTCCATCCCACTCCTGACTTGTGCCTTGTCGATAATGGACAAGGTTTGGGAAATCAGGAGGTGAATTATTCGCCATCTAGTGAAGTATTCCTAGCCTCTGACGTACTCTTGCAGTCACTGTGTTTATGTGGTGAGTCCAGTTGAGTTTCTGGTCAATGGTAACCCCCAGATGTCGCTAGTCGAGGACTCAATGATGGTAACACCATTAAATGTCAAGGGGTGGTGATTAGAATGTCTCTTATTGGAGATGCGGCCGCACTTGGAGTATTGCGTACAGTTCTGGTCACCGCATTATAGGAAGGATGTGGAAGCATTGGAAAGGGTGCAGAGGAGATTTACCAGGATGTTGCCTGGTATGGAGGGAAGGTCTTATGAGGAAAGGCTGAGGGTTTTGAGGCTGTTTTCGTTAGAGAGAAGAAGGTTAAGAGGTGACTTGATAGAGACATACAAGATGATCAGAGGATTAGATAGGGTGGACAGTGGGAGCCTTTTTCCTCGGATGGTGATGGCTAGCATGAGGGGACATAGCTTTAAATTGAGGGGTGATAGATATAGGACAGATGTCAGAGGTAGGTTCTTTACTCAGAGAGTAGTAAGGGCATGGAATGCCCTGCCTGCAAAAGTAGTAGACTCGCCAACTTTAAGGTCATTTAAATGGTCATTGGATAAACATATGGATGATAATGGAATAGTTTAGGTTAGATGGGCTTCAGATTGGTTTCACAAGTCGGCGCAACATCAAGGGCCGAAGGGCCTGTACTGCGCTGTAATGTTCTATGTTCTATGTTCTATGGTAATTGCCTGGCATTTGTGTAGTGCAAACGTTTCTTGCCACTTGCCAGCCCAAGCCTTACCCTCCAGATCTTGGTCATTGAACATGGACTGCTCCAGTATCTGCGCGTCCATTACAACAAAGTAGCCAATATGAACCAAGGGCAATTCAAATGTGCTAATTGATGGTGTTTCTTTAGCCAACACTAAGTCTCAAGTACCCTCAATTATCCTTGTGCCCTCTCAAGTGAGATATAAGTACATAAGACATAGGAGCAGGAGCTGGCCATTCAGATCCTTGAGCCTGCTCTGTCAGTCAATAATATCATGGCTGATCTGAAATATACACAGAGAATGCTGGAGAAACTCAGCAGGTCTGGCAGCATCTGTGGAGAGAGAAACAGAGTTAACATTTCAACTCTGGTATGACTCTTCCTGTAGATGCTGCCAGACCTGCTGAATCTCTTGAGCAGTCTTTGTGCTTGTTTCAGATTCCCAGCACCTGCAGCATTTTGCCTTTATCCATGATTGATCTGGTGTTGCCTTAACTCCAATTTCCAAACTTGACCCCACAATTATTTCTTCCCTTGTCAAACAAAAGTCCGTCGAGCTCAGCCTTGAATGTATTCAATGACTCGGCCTCCAGTACTCACTGGGGGAGTGAATTCCAAACACTAACAACCCTCTCTGAGATTTAATTTCTCCTCATCCCCATTTTAGATGAGCAACACCATATCTTGAAACGGTGTTCCCCAGTGCTAGATCCTCTCATGGGGACAGAAATCCCATTCCATGGGCTTGAGTTCAAAAATCTAGACTGGAATACCTATGCAGTGCTGCGGCAGTGCATCACTGTTAGGAATGCTTTCTTTCAAATTAGATTTCAAATTGATACCTGTCAAGTTGATTTTAAAAGCTCCAATGG